AAAGTTTTGCCTCCTGATATTTTTCCCTGTCCAGGCTGGAACAGAGAAAATGAAATTTCAACAGAAAACACACACAGAAATCGTTAATATTTGAACTCCAGAAAGATCTCATTTATTAAACATTTTTTTTTCATCCCTCTGGGGGATTCAGAGATGTAGTTTCTTTGTGTGTTACTTTGGCAGTAATACTACAGCATTTCCCCATGGGCTTCTTTAAGTGCTCTCAAGTGTACACTAATAACCCTTTGCCTTTGGCTTTGATGAGTATAACACACACTTAGTCACAGGATACGCTTTGGGTGATGTGGGGTTTTTTTAGGTACAGGGTTTGGTTTTTTTTTTAATTTATTTCATTTTTGGGTTTTTCTGGGGTGTTGTTTGGGTTTTTTTGTACAGCTTACAAGAAGACGGTTTGTTACTGTTTCAGTATGAAGTATAGGAGCCTTCTGCTGCAGCTCTGGAGTTTTAACAGATGGAGAATATTAAACCTTCATATATATATATATATCAGAGTGTAAAAGGATTGATTGTCACACAGCAAGACACTAAAAACTGGTTGTTGTTTTTTTTTACTGAAGCATGTTTCCCTCACGATGGTAAATGGTTCCAGAAAGACACTGACATACTGATCATCTACTCATATCATTCTGGGTGGCGGATGCCCTTATAGACAATTTAGAGATTGAAGGGCTTGGAAGTACATATTAAAGAAAATTAAAAATCCAATCAAAACAACATAATAAAAACAGGAACCAGAATTGCAATTGCTACACTAAGCACTAAATCTTGAATGGGGGTGTTTGAACAAGCTGTTTGTCAAAGTTTAACAGAAGAAACCTTCTCCATTCCAGGGTGGAAAAGGGAATATTTCTGGTGAAGGAGAACATGGGGTGATGTCATGGGGTGATGTCATGGGGTGGTGGGCTCACATGGCCAAATTCAAGGGTTCCTGGACCAGTGGGTACTCAAAAATGTTAGAAGCAGTAGCAAGAATAGTTTCCACATCTTGAAGGTGGAGCATTAACGGTGGAGCAGTCTCAGGTCTTCACAGCATTGTGGGCTGTGGGACATTTATAGTCCCTGGGTGTCAGATGATGCCCACAAAACCTTTCAAGCTGGAGAGAGGAAAAATCAATGCCTGTGGGAGAGGGCTGCCTAGTTTGGACATTCTGGTATGGATTGTACCCTCTTCTCTGTTCCCTGCCAAAGCTATATGCTTTCACTATATGGAGTATGTGGACAACCTGTAGGTAAGATCAGACCCAAGGGATCTGCCTATACTCGTTTATGCCAGAGGAAAATTGACAGTGCAAGTAGCCACCTTCCTACGTTGCCTTATTTCCTGCAAGACCAGTGCCTCACTTGCACTGCCTGGGTTATGAGAGCCTGGGTTATGCCATGGCCTGGAGTCAACATCCCCATTTCAGAGCTGCCTAGTCATGCACATGCCACGTCTTTAAGGGGTGCAGGAGCTGGAGATTTTTGTGTAGCAATGAGCCCATGAAGCAGCAATTACTGATGATTTCAAAGTTTTCTTGGTTAAGCTTTCACTGTGTCTTGCCAACCCGATCCCTCAACAGCCAGTTCTTTCTCAAGATCTATTAATATCTTGTGATTTACCTCCATATAAAGTATGTTGCTTTCTGACTCTCCCTGGGCGTATGGAACAGACGTCCCTTTTCAAGGGATTTATCATCAATTACAAATAATGCAGTGTAAATAAGTTTTCCAAGACCTTCAATCATGCTCATTAGCTTGAAGCTTGCTCATTAGCTTGAAGATAATGATACGTGGGATCAAATTTAAATCTACCAGCCTATAAATTTGGGAATGCAGAGGCTTGCTTAGGTCCACAGCTTTAACAAGTGAATGTGAAGCCAGTATAAGACACTCAGATATTTGAGGCAAAGCCACTCAGGGTTTTACAAGTAGCTTTGTGTGAACTAGGATCATGATTCAAGCTCTCATATTTTTAACCCAGACATTACTCAACTTAGTCTTTTTTGTTCCTTTAAGGGGCTATTTTAGACCCACAGGGGAGTAAAGTATTCAAGAAACACTCTCTTCAAGGAAAATCACAGGGAAACATGAATGTTAAGGTTGTTCTTCTGGGAAGAGATGCTGTTTTTAGCTGTGGACTCCTGTCATCTTATCACACAGTATCACACAATACTTATCACACAATAATCAGATCTGTTCTTATCTCAACTCTCTCCAGCCCCACGTTGGGCACAAAAAAGAACTGTCCTGGTTTAACCTTATCTGGCAATTAAGTACCACACAGTCACTCGTTCACCTCGCCCCTGTCCCCCAGTGTAGGAGGAGAGTTGGAGGAAAAGACAAGGAAGCTTGTAAAGTTAAGAACTATGTAATAATTGAATATAGCTGAAAAATATAGTGATATTACTAATATTAACAATACAACTACTAATAACTAATTAAAATAATAGAAAATAGAACATATGATACAATTGCTCACCACCTGCTGACAGACACAAAATCAGGTCCTGAGAAGCAAGAATCCAAGCCCCAGAGCACCAGAGTGACAACCTGGACTGGGGGAAAAATCAGCCGACCTCCCACCCCACTAGCAAAGGAATCTGCCCCACTGCTAAAAAACTAACCAAGAGCAAACAAAGGAGCTAACAACCCAGCTATCAAGCTAGTCAAAGTCTTAACGACCTCCCCAGGCTACTTCCCATCTCAGAACTGCACATGTGCCCTGAGCCTGACCATGTAATGAAATACTCCTTCAGCCAGGCTGGGCCAGCCCTCAACACCGTGAAGAAAAGGAGCTCTTTCCTGCCTGAAACCAGCACAACTCCCTAGGTATTTTTAGTTGCACATGCATCAGGTGCTTTAGATAAGAGTACCTCTGGAGACTGCAAGTCCTGTGTAACCTTAGAGCCCTCCTCATTAGAGTTGTTTGGGAAAAATAAACAAATCAAAAAAAGAACCCCAAGCAAAACACAACGTGGCAGATGTGTTTATTTTAGTAGCTCCACCTGTGTTCATCAGGCCCATTCCTGCAAGGTGATCTATGCAATGACATTTCTTCCTTCTACTCCCCGTAAGAAAATATCAAAATCCTGTCGAACATCTATACTCACATGTGTATGTTCTGCTACAGATTCTTTTGCCTTAAAGATTAGAAATAGCTCAACAGAGTAACTTCATCTGTGGCTGGCTATTAGTAAGAATAAGGGAGAAAAAGGGGATGATCGACAGAGAAATACTTTTTTAGCCCTCTCAATTTCTCATCTTCAAGAAGAACGTGTTTACTGGTCTACCCCAAATGTATCTCAGGGTTACTCAGGATAACTGACATGTATTTAATATGCTGATTTTCTGTGGTTGGGACTTGGCTGAAGCTACAGAGGACATGAGACAGGATTAAATACACATCAGAGAGATAAAAAAGGTACGTCTAATGCAGGAAGGCAAAGACGCCTTTGAAGTCTGTGGGAGGTATGCCTGTTCCTTCCAGCTCGGAATTTGTATCAGATGATTTAATTCTTTTTAAGACTGTATATTAAGAGGCTTTTTTTAATAGTGCAGCTTTAAGCAAGTCCCTGAGTAGTCTCTAGCAGAACTACAGTGTTATACTTCTGCTGTCTGTGTCATGATCAATAATAGATCACCAACTCCACTGCTCAGTGTAAAGTGAAAATGCCTTTCTCCAAAAAGACTATCTGTCCAAACAGGATTTTTTTCTCTTTTTTTTTTTTTTTTTATGTGTATTTAGAATAGATAGATAGGTAGATTCTATTTTGGTAGAATTAAGTCTCTCCATACATCTATAATAGATGTAAAAGTGAACAAAGGGATGTTAATTCAGGAGGATATTCTGTGGCCACATCCAAAAAAATGAGAGGCATGCTGGAAAATTCCAAAATGTGTTTTTAAATATCATCATCCAGTGCAAGGTGCCCAAATTGACTTTAGAAGTACATTGTTGTTATTAGGAGCTGCTATAATAAGCAGAATCAACCAGCAGCCATTTCCTAATGGGGTTTTATAATTGCTTGTTGGATATTTCTGGTTTTTGGCTCAGAGCCTTTTATTCTTGTTGCTAACAGAAAAAGTGTAATAACCAGTCGCTGCAGCCTACTGTGGAGGACACCATCCAAGTTAGGAGAATATGTAATGAGCAGCTTTGATTCACATTCTCTTACTCTTTAGAAAATAATTCTAGTCTTTAAAAGGCTCCATGCACCACTTAACTCAGTAATTGGCAAGAGGGGATGGAAATACAACATTCTGAAAGCAAAGTTGCACATTTCAGATTACTCTGAGAAGAGAGCACACAGAGTGTGTTCTTTGTCACTTATTCATAACTTCTTTCCAATACTTAATAACCATTTGCTATCCGGCAGTTGGCAGAATCTTGCTCTGCCTTGCGTGAAGGGATACCACCTTGATGGGCTCCGGTGTATGTCACAGACACAGTGACTTGAGGCTTTTCCACACCACATTCTAAGAGTTAGGCTGGGCAGGAATTTAATGACTGCAGGACAGGGTAATACAGATGCTTTTCCACTCCACGGGGGAGAGATTTCCAAATGAAGGTGCCCACAGGGTCGCAAAAATTATATTGTCAGGCCAGCTTTCCCCTATCACATGGTGCAGCAGTCTTCAGAAAAAGCATTGTGAATAGGTCATATTTTACCTAACTTCAGGTGTTTACAGTGTTGGTGTCTGTACTCAGTACCCATGGGTGTCTAGGTTCCTATTCAAGTCACTGGTATTTAACATGAAGGTCATCTAATCAACTACAAGCATCTGTGGTAGGGGGAGATGCCCTAAATTCCACTGCTTACTAGTGCATCATTGGGTATTAAGTATGGTTGGGTGGAGAAGGGAGGGAGGGGGAGAGGAAGGAAGAGAGAGAGAGAAAGAAAGAGAGAGAGAGACAGAAAGAGCGAAAGACAGAAAGAGAGAAAAGAGAGAGAGACAGAGAGAGAGAGAGAAAGAAAGAAAAGAAGAGAGAGAGAAAGAAAGAAAGAGAAAGAAAGAAAGAAAGAAAGAAAGAAAGAAAGAAAGAAAGAAAGAAAGAAAGAAAGAAAGAAAGAAAATGAAAGAGAAAGAAAAAGAAAATGAAAGAGAAAAAGAAAGAACGAAAGAACGAACGAAAGAACGAACGAAAGAACGAACGAAAGAACGAATGAAAGAACGAAAGAACGAAAGAACGAAAGAACGAAAGAAAGAACGAAAGAACGAAAGAATAAGAGAGAGAGAAAGAGAGAAAGAAAGAGAGAAAGACAGAGAGAGAGACACAGAGAGAGAAAGAAAGAAAGAACGAAAGAACGAATGAACGAAAGAACGAAAGAACGAAAGAAAGAACGAAAGAACGAAAGAAAGAACGAAAGAAAGAACGAAAGAACGAAAGAACGAAAGAACGAAAGAAAGAACGAAAGAACGAAAGAAAGAACGAAAGAAAGAACGAAAGAACGAAAGAACGAAAGAACGAAAGAAAGAAAGAAAGAAAGAAAGAAAGAAAGAAAGAAAGAAAGAAAGAAAGGCATTATGCAGAGTAGCTTTAGCTGTCATCATTTTTATCCTAGACATAGGATGTCATGCCAAAATGCGAAGCACAGCAGATTCTCCTTTGTGTGGCTTCCAACTGCTTTCTGCTTTTTCAGTAATGCTAAAATTCGAGAGAAATCATCTGACCTTAAATGTGTTGTTGTGGTCTGCTAATCTCAACTCTGTATTTTCAGTAGAACTCATAGTTATTGAAAGGAAAGGCACTGTAGAACTGACAGTTTCTCTCAATTTACTTAACCGTCTGTAGTCATCCAGGGGTTTATGCTGAAAGAGTATTTTTAAGGTACAAAATCTGGCTTTCTAGTTCACTGAACACATGGAGAGCCTTTTGTTGACATTATCTGCACTGTATCTTCAGGGAAGACAGTGAGTTTATAAGTGGTTTGTGAAATTCACATTCAAAACTCAGGGAAGCAAACAAGCAGAGAGATAAAACATTCCTGACAGGACTAAGTTCAATATTACAAAATGGAGAAGAAAAAATATTCTGAGGGAACGGATGCATTAGGGAATTTAAAACGAGAATTAAATAGGTTAGTTTCTCCAATGCTTCCATATTTTTATGACGAGTTCAATTATGCTGAGATTATTAATTTTTAAAATGATTAATGTAAGATTATATTGGAACAGATAGATTGTTCATTACAAATTACTTGTTTTATCTCATCCTTGACAACTACAGTGTCAACTCTTGGAATGTTTAAATTTTGTTCTTGCTGGAGGAAAGGGAAAGTTTCTATTCTAGACAATCCTGTAATTTTTTTATAGACACACTTAGATATTTGGACCATAATTTGGGCACCGGAACTTCATTATCAGTTGCTAAAAGATGTCACGTATGTATGGTGGAACTTGGGTAAAGTTCTTTGCCTCTGTCTGAATGCTTCCTGTGCAAACTGGAGGTACAAGTTCTCTGGTTCATCATGTTTGTTCTTTAATTACACCATAATCTCTCTGGGCGAAGTGTGACAAGATGACACATTATTTAGGAAAAAAAATGGTGAATTCAGGTTTGACTTAGTTAACATACAATGCTAAAATCAAACAAAATCTGAGTGCTTTTCCTTTTTTTTTTCTGTTTGGAAGCAGAATAACATTTGTAATGGAATTTCAAATGATTTTTCTTTTAGTCTAATCAGGCCTCAAAAATCTTATGGTAAGCTATGATCGGATCTAAGTCAAAGTGCAGTGCTGCACTTATACTGGGAGAATTTTTAGCCAACCAAACCAGCCTATCTCCTTTGAGGAACATTGTTCCACTGGTTGATTCCCTTCTGACTGAAATCCATGGCTAAGCTTTCCAAGGGAACTCTGTGAGTTTCAGCTCCCCGCGTTGTCATAGTGTTATCTAAATGTCAGGATTTGCCTTTGTCAGGCAATGGCTGCTCCCTTGATGTCCTGAGACTTGGCACATACTGGGGAAGCAAAAGGCAAAAGCATTATTATAAACTTACATACGTAACAATAAACGTAAGAAAGATGTGAAATACTGTCTGATTGATGCAAAGCTTTGTCTTTAACGGGCATATGTTTTCCTGAGTTTTGTTTGGATTTCGGAACCCACCATTTTTAATGTAGAAAGGTGTAAGTAACTTCCGTAATCCTTCTAAGGAAATATCTGCATCCTACCATGCGCTGCTATGCAGAGGTACTTGAGAAAATTTGAGTAAGAGAAGCAGCACAGCATTGCTCTGATTCAGGAGAGCTCACTCACCTTTGTATCCCTGCATCAGACCGTTCTTCTCTGATGAAACATCCCAGTGATCCAGGAATACAAACATCATTCAGAGTCAATGTGGTTCAGTCAATAAGGTTTGGTTGACTTAAAGGAGAAGATCAGAGATGGAGAGAGGACCATCCATAAGATACCACAACCAATCTTAACCTAAGAACTATGATTCTATGATCATTCTATGATTCTATGATTCTATGATTCTACTGGAGGCAGTAGGGAAGACCCTCTGGTTCTGTCCCTTTCTCACTTGCCCATGGCCCATACTGGCATAGATCCACATCTCCATAGCCTGATTTAGTTCCTACTTGAGCAATGCTCTCCCCAAAGCCATTGATATGTTTTTCCTTGCTTAAAGTGAAGAATGTAGCCCACGTTGTTACAATTAAGGAGAAAATATTGCAGCACAATGTTTTCTAAGGTTATTTGTTCTTTTCAGAGATAAAAATCAGAGGTTGTTTTGCTAGAATTTATTTTCCTTGCAAATGGACCTAGTCTATTTTGGTTTTTAGTTGTTGGGTTTTTTTTTACATGAGGGCTTCTGATGTTAATTTTCCATCACATCCATTTTCAGAATTACTCCATTTTCCATACACTTTAATGTCTTAAAAACTGGCCAAATTCCTCACTGATCTATGTATTTAAGTGGACTATATTAAAAAAAAAAAAAAAAGAAAAAGAGAAAGAATAAATGTAATAACTATTGAGTGGAATATTTTCAGCCCTTAATCTGGCATTGGTTTAAACCTCCCAATGAAAATATAAAAGTGAAGAAACACAACTGAATTTGATACATAAAACTCACTTCTTATTAAAAGTGATACGCAAGGTCCGGGAGAATCATTTATGCAATTCCTCTGCTTTGATTATTTCTTGCCTGGGTAGGCAGGGCATCTTGTAAGTGACTGGCAGGGAGAGATGGCAGAAAATGGGTGGGCAAGTTACAAGAGGAGGGTCCACATGTCCCACCTTGGGTCTGAGACCTGCCTGGCACCATGTCTGTGGCAACGGGATCCCCAGCCCTTGGCTTATTCTCTGATGTGGCATTATGACTTCAGTCTGTACTGGGGAAGGAAGTGATGGTCCACATTTGTCCCATAAACAAAGCTGAACTTTCCCACTTTGTGTTCTATTTCACTATAAACACTTCAGCAACTACCCTTTAGTAAGTGATTGACTATTTTTACAGTGCCTGCTATTCCAGTCCCCTTTTTTCTTGGCCTGTAAGTACTACCATAAGCATGATTAACAATATTTATTATAAGTGCACATTATATTATGCATTTTATGAGTCTTCTACATAGCCATGGTCTTTAAAACATGCATTTCAACTAAAATTCCACCTAGGCCAAAACAACGTGAGAATTATTACACTGCAACATTAACAACAACAACAAAAAAGATTTTATTTTCAATAACGCTTTATTTTCTGCAGATGGAGTCACAAGGGATCTTTTTATTTGGCTTCAACTGCTTTCATTATAGTTTTCCACTCATCTGTCTTCCCAGGGATCATATTCAGATTGTACATGCAAGGATTGCACCCCTTACTAGTGGAAAGCAGCCATTTCAGGGGGTGTGTGTAACCAGAAGCTTTTAATTTGCATACTATTCCATATTGGAGTTACCCACTGGAAACTACAGGTCAAAGTCATTTGGCGATATGTTACCTGTTTTTTCTATCTAATCTATTTTTAGATATCAACACTGAATTGCTAAGTCAGCTACAATATTTTTTCTGATAACATTCAAGAGTTTTTAGATAAGGAAATTAAGCTGATGGGAAGCATGTAAAAAACAGTAAGCTCTTTGATATGCTATCACATGGAAAGAGAATAGTTAATTTGAAAAAGGCAGAGATTACAGCAGACACTTAAAAGTTGGTAAGATGCTGATCTGAAGGGAGATGTTGAGATATGTTCAATAGCTGCTGGATTGGAATTGGCAGTAGAAACTGGTACTAGTCATAGAATTATAGAATCATAGAATGGTTTGGGTTGGGAGGGACCTTGAGCCGTTGACCACCACTCTCTGAGTGCGGCCATCCAGCCAGTTCTTTATCCATCGAGCGGTCCATCTGTCAAATCCATGTCTCTCCAGTTTCAAGACAAGGATGTCATCTGGGACAGTGTCGAAGGCTTTGCACAAGTCCGGGTAGATGACATCAGTTACCTGTCCTCTATCCACAAAGGTTATGACCCCATTGTAGAAGGCCACCATGTTCGTCAGGCACGATCTGCCCTTGGTGAAGCCATGCTGGCTGTCACCAATCACCTCCTCATTCTCCATGTGCCTCAGCATGGTTTCCAGGAGGATCTGCTACATGATCTTGCCAGGCACAGAGGTGAGACTGATCTTATTTAGTGTTTTCATAATATGTTATTTTACCTTGGTGTACAGTCAGGAGGTATTGAGAGTTCAGAGGACAACAAGGATATCACTGAGGAAAAATAGTTTTAGCCATGTTAGAGAAGCAGCAAATATATTTCCTAACAAAAAGTACCAGGTTATTCACTTAGAGACTAATAATTTCCACTGTAAAATGATATCTTGTCAGCTGCATGTGAGAAACAGGCTTGTGCATACCACAGTGAGTATAAATTATTAATGTGCAGGCTCATGAAAAGATGCATGTGGCCATAGGATGTGGTAGGCAAGATATTTCTGGTGCTAAGTAGGAACTACTGCCCTGGTATCAGCCACTGTGGCGACCTCAGGGTATTGTATGTCATTCTGCACAGCAGAAGTGAGTTCAGGTAAGAGCAGAGCTTAACAGAGCTGCTGACAGGATGGGGAGGGTGGAGATGATACCTGGGGGCAGGCATTTATATCTGCTGCAGTCTGCAGCTTAGCACTGAAACGTGCTGGCTGGCTTCTTACAGGCTAACTTAGATAATGGAAATACTGGCAGTGCACGGATAAAGTTCCAGCATGGAAATTCCCCTGTTTACTTTGCAGAGTAAAATGCCAAAAACAAAGGTCGTGTGCCTGGCACTTCAGCAGTCACTAATAGCTGAGATTGTCTCTATATGGCATGGTAGCGTAGGAAAATAAAGGCTGAGAGGAACTGTTTATCCCCAAGATCAATAATATTGTAAGAACAAACAGTTATAACATGCTCATGAATAAATTCATTCTAAACTTGGATTAGGACTGTCCAGGGGAGACCATCTGACTAGGCTGCAGGTG